CTCAATGGCCAAAACGACGTCATTTTGAGTACAGAACAACATAAAAATGGCCAAAACGACGTCGTTTTAGTCATTTGAGTCACTTTTGAGCCACAAAATTTGAGTTACGTGACATTTTCCATATATTTATCAACTACTCACGTGACATCTCACTCCAAAGTGGAGGCTTTTAAGGAAACAAATGACATTCTAATTAATTAGGTTATCAATGCAATTGGTAAACTTTGGATTAATTGGGGAGGCTTATTATTTGACATACAATAAAACTTGAGCAATCACCTTAATCACTGATACTTGAAACAAACGTAAAATCGATATAAAATGTGGTACACAGATAAGAAAATATAATTATCATAATATTATTATATTAAAACATTATATGAGTTATTAAATTTTGAAAGTCAACTCTAACATATTGTAGATTGCATAATTTTTTGGGAATGGTAGATTAAATTTGGGGAGCCATACTGTGATATATCAAAAAAATTTAGAAATAGCATATATATATATAGAATAAAGATTAAAACCCCTTTTCCCCCACCTCCTTTTGACCCTCTTTCTTTTTTGATTGGTCACTTTTTCTTTTTCTTTTTTTTCTCCTCCTCCAATCACCACCCGCCATGTGTGTGTGTGGGTGGTGGGGGTTGAAGTTTGAGAGGGTCTAAATCATTGCTGATATATATATATATATATAAATGGAAATTATACTAATCCCTCCGCCCTGGGGTGTTGTGCGGGTTAAGGATTTTTCGATGATCAAGTTAGAATTTTTTTTGAAGAGTAAGATAGGAGATTAAGGATTTGTAATGATGGGTTATTTTAAAAAGATGATTAAAAGTCATCTTTCATTTTTTAACTTATTTTGGGTCACATCATCTCTTATATTTTTTATATATATTTTTTTTAAAAATCAAAATCAAAAAGTCAACTTTTAACCATCTTTTCAAAACAACCTTTATCATCTTGATTGGGAAACATAAAAAAAAATATAATAGTTTGTGATTGGTTAGAGGCATGGTCACATAGTAACCCTGAACCAACAAATAATTTTTTTTAAAAGATAAATTATTTAGTGGTCTAGTACACTATGTCATCATGTTGATACAGTGTGTCAAATTAAATTTTTTTTTTTGAGGTCTCAGTTTTCGAAATTTAATTTTTTAAAAATTGAGTTTTTTATTTTTTTTATTTTTTCGATTTTAGTGAAAATTTTTTAAATTTTGTGTAATTTTTTTATTTTTTTAAATGTACCTTACTTAGATGTATCTAAGTAATAAATTATTTGTGAAAAATATTTTTAAAAAATTAATAAATACACAAAAATATGAAAAATGTATTAAATTTTCATATTTTTTTTATAAATATTATACTTTCTAAGTGTATTTATGTTTGGTGTATAAAAATTTTTAATTTTTTTTAAAATATAAAAAAAAATTAGTGAAAATAAAAAAAATACGAAAAATAAGAAATAGAATTTTCTGAAAAGTAAATTCTAAAAATTAGAAACAAACAGAGATGAAATTTTATAGTGTGTCAAATCAATGAAATTTTAATGGAAGTTGTAGTTTTATTATTTTTTTGAATTAATAAAGTATTGGCAAAGTTTTTAAAATTTCTTCATGTACTATGTCTTTTTTTTACTTCATGTATTATTTTTATTGGTCGGTCATACTACTAATGTGGTATGCGGTGCTCATGGAATAACTCATATTCTTCCAGAGATATGCAAATCATATATATTTCTACGCTATTTTTTATTCCAAAAAAAAAAAAAATGCGTGCATTTTCTCATTGGTGGCATTGGACCCATACGTTAAGTTTACTCTATTTTTTGGAATTTTTAATACATTTGTTTTTAATTTTCTATCAACTTTTGGAAAGTAGTTAGTAATTCATATTCAAAGCAAGAGTAATAAAAAGTAAAACTTGGTCGTCATAATTAATTTATGCGTAAATTATAAATATAATTTACTTAAAATATGAAGTATTTTCTATAATTTTAAAAATTACATTTCGCTGTTTGAAATTTTTAATTTTATAATAAATAACTCATTTTATTAATAAATCATAAATTGAATTAGTAATTTTTAATGATATGAGAAATATAATTCAATTAAAATTTGAGGTACAATATGTAATTATTATATAGAAAAGCATTAATAAATTTTATTTTTTCATAAGAAATTTCATTTTTTAAATTAATAATAAAAATTCTGAAAAGAGATATTTATAATTTTTCAAACTACAAGAAAAAATTTAGGTAGCCTTTGGTTTATTTTTAGAATCATGATTTGGATCAAAAAAATTTAAAGAAGTGATTGGTAACTCGAATTTGAGCACCCCGAATTCAAAAATGACGTTGTTTTCGTCGTTTTTTATTTATTTATTTATTTTTCAGAAGAAGAAAATCAGAAGAAAAGAAGGAAGAAGGAAGAAGGAAGAAGAAGAAGAACTGGACTGGAGGGGCCATCAAAATCGGGTTGGAGGCGGAGGCGGAAGTAGAGGCAGGGGGCGGAGGCGGAGGTAGAGGCGAGGGCTGCGAGGCAGAGGCGGAGGCGACGGCGGGGCGACGATCGGGCGAAGGGGCTGCCATCTCTTCCTCCTCTTCCCCTCTCTTCTCTTTCTCTGTTCTCTTCTATCTGATTCGGGAGATTCGGGGGGGCACAAATTCGGAGAAAAAAACATTTTCCAAAAATTTAAAACTCTTTTCAAAACTTATAACCAAAGTTTTCAAAACTCTTTTTAAAAAAGCTCATAACCAAACAAGTTTTCAAAACTCATTTCAAAACTGTATTTTAAAAAAAAAAAAATCAATTTTTTTATTTTATTTTATTCTTTAAAATATTTTTTTATTCTTTTGAAAAAATAATTTTTTTTTAAAGTATTGGCCAAATAATTTGTTATAATTTAGATATAAAAAATTAAAAAATAAAATAAAAGTATTTAAAATAAAAAATAAAACTTTTAAATATTTAAATATTAATTTTTTTTAAAAAAAATATTTTGTGCTCTTGGGGTTGGACCCATGCCAAAGTAGATGCCACGAACGAAAGCGAATTACGGTCGGTACTTTTTTTGATGTCCAAATGTTTATAACCACCAAGATTTGAATTTGATACACCGATGAAGAATTTTAAGTTAGTTCTGAGTATTGACAAAATAATTTGTTATGTTTTAGATATGTATTAGCTAATTAAAATGATATTTAACCAGTACAAAAATTCCGAAGAAATGAAAAACGAATGTAATAAATATGGCACACATTAGAAAAAATTTACAATAAAAAATATTTATCCTAAAAAAATAAAATTAAGAAAATTTTTAAACATTTTAAAAAAATTAACCCAAAACAATTTCAAAATAAAATTCAAAATTCATAACCAAATAAATTTTCTTTTTCAAAACTCATTTCAAAAACTTATCTTTCAAAACACAAATTAAAACTTAAATCTTATTTCAAAAACTAAACCAAACGGTGCCCTATATTTTACACAAATATGAAGGGATGTATTTATAATTTACTCATTCCGTTCCAAAGTATTAGTCCCTTATTCAATTTTTTATTATCCTAAAAAATTAGTCTTTTTTAAAATAAAGGATTAAAATAAGGAGAATTTTTTTTAAGATTTTGATATTAAGATTTTATAAGATAAAAAATATATAATATTTTCATAGTAGTTAAAATCCCTTAACATTTTCACCAAGAAATTTCGATTCAAAATTTTTTATCTTGAGTCAAAGAAATTTCCAATTTCAATTTTTACAAGGAAATTTATCTGATTTCACACATAAATTTCAAAATTTATCTGTGATCATACTAGAGAAATTTCAAAATTTCTCTAAATTTTGCAAAATTTTTTTTAGCTAAATTTTCTCTGAGAAAATATTGAGAGACGTTAGCTAATAAAAAAAATATTTTGGACTTTTCTTACTACACAAAATTTGAGAGAGATATTTTCACTATTTTTTTTTAAAATAATATAAATTTTCTATTTTATTTTTTAAAAAAATTGATTACTATACAAATAAATGTAATTATGATAATTGATATTCTCAAAAAAGTCAAAAGATAATTTTAAAAAATTAATATTTTAAAATATAATAATTATATTATTAAAAAAAAGTTAAATTATCTCCACCCGAAAAAAAAACACTAATATCTTAAAACGAAAGATGACCTGGTCGGTTTTCTGACCCAAACTAAGAAAAGTCTGGTCCTCAGTGAACAAGACAGGCATGGACAGGGAAAGCAAGCAATCTTGTGATTTCAGGAAAAAAAAAAAAAATTTAAAAACCAAAAATTGAAGGAGCACCTGCCGCTCTGTATGTGTATGTCCTCGTTTGGCAGGTTAATTTTTAAAATTGTGAGGATATAATTTTTAAAAGATAACATATGATTGAGGTGACATCGAAGTGTCAGTTGATATGTCACGTGTTCTGGTCATGATGTCGAGATGATATCGGTTAGGTCGAGGTTATTTGCGAGAATATCGGAATCCGAGATAAGCGGATAAGGGACAAGAGTTCTAGAATGGAAGAAGACTTCAGTTTGGATAAAAATGAGACTCCCATGAGTCTAAGATAAGTACTGACTTGATCATCGGAGTGCCTCCGGGTGGACGAGTCACTGCCGAAAACTCTTCTTTCTGTTGCAGGTCGTTCGGGCTTAATCTATTCTGCCGGTGCTCTCCCGTACCTGTTTGACAATGTGGTCAGAAAATCATCCACACAAAAATTATTAGGTTGTAATAATTATAAAAAGAGAAAATAATTTAAAAATTAATAAAATAAAATATTATATTTAAATTATAATTATTTTATTTTTACTTAAAATAATTAAAAAAACTAAAAAATTTAATTCAAATAAAACTTTTTAACCAAATGATCAAAAAAAAAATATATTAAAAAGTGAAAATACTGAAGTCTATCTATATTTTGTAACGTATTTGTAAGGTCACGGAAGTATAATAACATACAACCAGAGGAGAGAGAAATAGACACAGAAAACAGAGAGAGAGAGAGAGAGAGATAGAGAGAGAGAGACGGAGAGAGTGCGTGAAATAAATACAGAGAGAGAAGCAGTATAAAAACAAAGGAAGAAGAAGAAACGGGCACTTTCGGACGGAGGAACGCTTAAAGCACTGACTCTCTCTCATTCAATGCTTTACCGAACTCACCATCCCCTTTTCTTCTCCTAGAACCCTTTTACCACCACGACAACCACTTCACCTGTTCCTCCCCGTCTTCTATCTCCTCCTATTCAGGTAATTTTTCTCTCCAATCTTTTGTTTTTCTGTAAATATTTTATATGTATTTGTGTTGTATAGAGTGTAATGGTTCTGGGTTTTGTTGAACAGGGAATGGAGTGTGCTGAAGCGGCGTTGAAAAACTGTACTAGTCCGGAGGTGATGGCCGTGAAGAAAACCCAACAACAACAACAACCACCAGCGTTTTTGGACGAATTGCCGGCGATTAACGGAGTCTCTGGAGACGATTCGTTTGTCGATGACCTTCTCGATTTCTCCAAAGGAGGTATCGAAGATGGGTTTTTAGAAACAGAGGATGAACCAGAGGATGAAACCAAGCCATGCTCTGTCTCTGTTTTCCCTCAACAACAAGACCAAAAAGCAGAGAAACCCAACCACTCTGACCCAACCAAAACTAGTACTTTTTCCGTCACCGACGATTTTCGCAGCGAACTCAGCGTTCCAGTAAGCCCCCTCTCTCTCTCTCTCTCTTTCAAAATTTTCTGTTTGGGTACTGAGAAAAGGGGCTGTTTTCACAGGCGGATGATTTGGCAGACCTCGAATGGCTTTCTCATTTCGTGGAAGATTCCTTCTCCGAATATTCTCTAGCCGGAAAATTACCTGACAAAACCACCGGAAACCGGTCCGAACCGCTGGAAATTGCAGTCCTGGCCAAGTCATGTTTCACGACTCCGGTTCAGACCAAGGCGAGAAGCAAGCGGCTAAGAACCGGTTCACGAGTTTGGTCACTGGGCTCTCCTTCGCTGACCGAGACGACGTCGTCTTCTTCATCATCTTCGTCGACCTTGTCGTCCTCACCTCCAAACCCTTGGCTCATCTTCACTACCCTGAGTCAAACCGCCGACTCACTCCTCCGGCCGCCGTTGCCGGCGGCGAAGAAACCCAAGAGAAAAAGACAAGAAATTCCCGGCGGCGGCGGTGGTGGGTCACAGCAGCCACGGCGGTGCAGCCATTGCCTCGTCCAGAAAACGCCGCAGTGGCGAACCGGTCCACTCGGTGCCAAAACTCTATGTAACGCCTGTGGGGTCCGATACAAATCGGGTCGGTTATTACCCGAGTACCGACCCGCCTGTAGCCCGACTTTCTCGGGCGATATCCACTCCAACAACCACCGGAAAGTGTTGGAAATGCGGCGGAAGAAGGAGGTGGAAACCGGGTTGGGTCCACCGGTTCAAAGTTTTTGAAGACGGTTTAGTTTATATATTTTTATAAATTGATAGATAGGATTCCGGAAAGAGTAGGAAGTGAACCGGAGAGATTGAACCCGGTTCGGGGAGGTTGGGTTTAGTTTTGGGGGTTCAAGTGTACACTTGTTTCTTGGTTGGTGCGTTAGATTTGTAGGGGAATGTAACCGATTAGTGAAGGATTGGAGTAACTTTAAATATATTTTTGTTAAAATTGCTCTTTTGTAGTCTTTCTCTATTTATATACATACTATATTATAAATGAAAACGTACTTTTATAATTGCTTAAACTATTTAGATTAGCAAATGTTCGAGAATTTTTTTAAAAAAAAATTGTCAAATAATATAGTTTCAGGTTAATTACACTGTTACCTTTCTAATTACACTTAAATTTCATTTTGGCCTTTTCGTTCAAATTAGATATTAAAATTAATGATTTTAGAACATTTGATGGCAAAATTTATTGAAATTTAGGCGAAATGATCAAATTAAAATTGAAATTTAAGTGTAAAGATCAAATTATTCAAATTAAAATTATAAGAATTGAGTCAAATTATAAAAATAAAAAATATAATTAATCCTACAATTTTGCTTCATCAAATCATTTCTTCTATTATTTCGTGGCAATATACCTTTGAGATGAGCTTATTGTAACAAATATTTATCTATTGAGACAAGTTTTTTGGTAACCAAAAACCTTGTAGTCCAATTTGTTAGAGAGGGTGGACTGTGGTCTGAATTCTGAGTGCGTATCGAAACTGTTCAACATTTTTTTTACGCCCTTGTTTTGAGAGGCCGTTGAAAGGCACAAAAATTATGAACAAGCACGAGATGAGGCTGGGAAAATGGTTTGTGGCGTGGGGGTAAATGCTTCAGAGTTGGAAAAATGAAATGAATTTATTTTTGGAAAGATTATAGAATGAAAAAAAAAAAGAAAAAAGTAACCGCTGGGCATAGCATAGATGGTTAGAAGGGATGTTTCAAGTTGTTATTAACATAACACTTGATGTGGATTCAATTTTTTTCTATTGTGCAAATACTAACTTAATTGGAGCTTATGTTGAAGGATTGGTACAAGTTTTCAAGTTATAGTCGCTCGTTCAGAACGAACAACAAAACACCTTAGTGATCTCGACACAAGTACTGCCTTGGACCTACGGGTGGATGTGAAGATTTTCTTGTAACAAAAAAAAAAAGGTGAAATAATTGCAGAAATGGTAGAAATAAAAAATTAAAAAAAATTACTCTGCAAATAAAATAATAATAATAATTGCGCATGCCTAGTGCCTGTCACAATATTGTTCGCTTTGGCGAGGTGGGCGCGAAGTCCCGTCAGGCTCACGGCTTTCTTCCTCATCGGGAGAAAACGCATTGTGTCTAGGTGAGTACTGGAACAACTCAGCCGACAGAACACAATACTTTCCGCTTTGAGGTTGAGGGACGGAGCTAGCCATCTACCCCTCACGATTTTAAACATGTTGTATTTGGGTGAGTGCTGAAACAGCTTAGCCTGCAGAGCGCAATATTGTCCGCTTGGGGTTGAGGGACGGAGCTAGCCGTCCCCTCTCATGATTTTAAACGCATTGTGTCTAGGTGAATGCTGAAACAGCTCAACCAGCAGAGCGCAATACCGTTCGCTTTTGGGGTTGAGGGACGGAGCTTTCCATCCCTTCCTCACGGTTTTAAACACGTTGTGACAGGTTAAGGAGCCAATACACTTATAATGTGAAGTTGGTCCGTCCCTTTAAGCGATGTGGAATTGTCTCAACATAACCCAGTAGACTGGGCCCTGCAACAGTGGGGGAAGAGAAGAGCCCTCCTAGCACCAAATGTGCATGCTTAGCGCCTGCGTGCCTATCACAATATTGTCCACTTTGGCGAGGTGGGCGCGGAGCTCCATCGGCCTCACGACTTTGCTCTTTCTTTGGAAAAAACCTATTGTGACAAGTTGAGGGGCCAATACACTTATAAAGTGAAATCGATCCGTCTCCCAAGGCGAGGTGGACATCAACAATAATAATTACAAAAACATGATTACAATTACCTTTTTACCCCTCGTCTTGCCCTCAGCTTTTCTTCCCTCCTTTCACCTCTCTTTCTCTTCCCTCTCATTTTGTCTATAGTTGTCGACCACTCCTCCTGCACCCTTCCCAGTTGCTACCATCCCTCCCTACCTTACCCAGCTGCATCCAACCCCACTCCCGTTCTCCTCTCCCCATCTCCTCTTTCACCCTTCTCCAATCCCTTTTGCTCATCCATAGCCTTTATATCCACTTTACTGCCACCTTTGCCTTTACTTTTTTAGTAGCTAAAAGAATTAAAAAGGTGGTTTTATGTTTTTATATATATCATCACAACTATATATGACATTTTGAAGTCACCCTCATGTACATGAGCAGGATAATATCAGGCTGGCATATATATAATAATAGTGTAAGGATTTTGAAGGTACAATAATAATTCTCAAATTATTTGAGTTCAAGACACTGTATCTTGATCTTCGGAGAAGTATGGCCAAATAATTCTATAGTGACCAATTTTCTTATGAGTAATAATGCTATATAAATAAATTATACAAACTTCCTCTTTTAATTGATATGTCACCGTAATGAGTAAAAAAAAATTTAAAATTTATTACTGTGCATAATATTTTTTTAGACAGCATCCTCTTGTAATATCTTATGTAGCACCTAAATGTTATATACCGTTTGGGAAGAAGAATATGGGGCTTTTTTGGCTATTTTAGTCACAAAAGACAAAATAGACTATTTTAGTCACAAAAGATAAAACATCACATCCAACCCATAATTATTACACTATTTTCTTACAAAAAAAAGTCAAAAAAACCAAAAAGTCAAAAAATCCTTCCCAAACCAAACTTTTTAGCTCAGGCTAAAATAGCCAAAAAAATTAAAAAATAAAAAGCCAACCCACTTTCCAAACCAACCCATAATATAATTCTATTTGCACGTAAACTCAAAAATCTGCACCAAAAAGTTATGGCGCCATCCAAGTTTATTCTAACGTAGTGGACAGCAAACCAAAAATGAATTAGGTCTTTTTTTCATATATTTTTTATTGTAATTTTGTAGAAATTATATTAAATGATTTGACTCGCAAGGATCATAATTGAAAATTGTTTGATAGTCTTTTTATCTGGAATTGGCAAAATATAATTAACTTAAATTCAAGACAACTATTGATTTGTTATCTCATATATGCTTTCCTATTTTATTTTTGTATAAATAACATTTTTTTCAATAATATATTCAAAAAATATGACCACCATAAAGCATTGGATAAGCATGTTCATGTAAAAAGGAAGCAAAACATTTTCTCATTTTGCATTCTCAGTTGAGCTGAACTGATCCGAGCTAAATTGATTGCACAACTTTTCGTGGGGAAAGAGGGTTTACAAATGAAAGATTTTTCTTATTTGATGATCTGGAGCAAATCTATGCGGTATCCAAACTTAATATTTGTTGATTAAAATAGTATGATTTAATACTTTTATTAGATTTTTAAGAGATAATTTGACAAGCAACATCA